GAACTCGTATATATATATATATATATATATATATAAAATATGGCGCAAATGAATGAAATGTAAAATGATCCTTTAATTCTTTCTTGGAAATTCATGATGTTGGCTCGATATTGGGTCGATGTTTCCATTATTTCTTTTTAAGAGAAAAAGAAGAAAAAATCGAGATTGAGATCGAGAGAAAAAGGAAGAGAGAGAAAGAGAGAGAGAGAGAGAGAGAGAGATGGAAGGCACATATCTATCTCCATAGTCAAAGCTCGAGTGACGCACGAATCGCCTAGAAGATCGCTGGTGTAGTGTTGTTCCTGTCGCCAGTTGATGCTGCTGTTGGGGCGAATGATATAATGCCGGCACGTCACGTCGGAAACTGGGTTCTATCGATTTCGTATCAGTTCCTGGCATCTCTTGCGGGATACACACAACTGCGCGAATTTACACATACGCGCGCTCGCACGCATCACACGTTATAAGTGTGTAGCTATCATACCTACATATTCATAGATATGAGAGTACACACTACATACTGCACATATATGTATACACACCCCACACACACACACACACACACACACACACACACACACACACTCTCTCTCTCTCTCTCTCTCTCTCTCTCTCTCTCTCTCTCTCTCTCGCTCGCTCGCTCGCTCGCTCTGTCTAGTGTCTGTTAGAGAAGAGGTGATAAAGCAAAGTAGAGAGGGAGTAATAGCGAGTAGGTAATGGGTGAGTCTCCACCTTCGACTTCGAGAGCCCTAAAGCCTTCCTAACGTCGCGTCGTCTACAATTCAGTTGTGAGTTAGGTGCTTGACTATTGTCCTCGGCACTCTCGGCAGCCTTATGTAGGTCATCTTGAATCAATCGTAGATATCCTGCCGCAAACTATTAAATTATAAGAATATTACATAAATGATGAACGAATGACGTCGAGGATTTGCATTAGGGCACTAATGATTTGTAAAATAAAAATAATTTTAAAAATGTTATTTTGATAGTTATGAATAGATAAAAACGATAAGATAAAAATCGTTTCGGCTGCCAATTTGTACAATATTCAAATGTATCATACTCTAACAAAAATTTAATTCGAGTTTGAATTAAGTAAAAATGAATAGAAATGAAATATACCAGAATCATATTCGTATAATTTCTTCATACAAAAATCAATTTTATAGATTATTATTATAAAATTATCGGGATAAAAACACAATATCTCTTGCAAGCTACGATAAGCAACGAGAATGAAAGAGATTAAGAGGTTAAGGCTTAGGTTAGGTTCGTGAAAGCCTTTTCATGTGGCGAGACTAAATTGAAGAGTTTGTCGAAGGGGCTCGTAATCAGTAAGCAGGCGTAGAGTCGTAAGATAGACTTACCTGAGCCGACGGAAAACGTCATTATCAGGCTCGGTGTCTCGTGAAACCGATTCGAATCGGTGCTCGTTACGTCACCCCCGGGACAGACAGATACTCGACCCCGTTGAAAGGATCTCGAGGGCGTCCTTTCAGACCAGCGATCCTTAATTAATCTGGAAATCGAATCAAGGAGAGGAAGGAGAGTCACAGAGTCGGTGTGTCGATAGATCGAATCGAAGGGGTGAAAGAGAAGAATCCGTTTGGTGAATTCGAGACGGTTTATATGACTGCCCTATTCTTTCGATGGTTTTCTCGAGAAAGTCTTTCTCTCGCTAATTTCTCCATTTATTGTTTACTTCGTCCCTTCTTCTTTGACGTTTTAAACTGCTCTTATCTCACCGGTCTCTATTACTCACGCAAATTATGTATATCAAGTCATGATAGTCCGTTATACAAATGCTGGTCATCGAATCACGAGAGCTTCGAATAGCCAAGTTGCTCCTGCCGCGTGTACCGACTTATTAGTTAATAACGATCACAATCCGTTGATTTATACATATGACGTAATTAGCGAGTTCAATGAAATCGTTACACCAAAGATCCATACAGCAGAGATTATTCGAGCAATATTGCGATAACATTGCAACGTTGAACAATGTTGCTACAAGATTCTGTGCTACATGGAAAAGGATGTTCTGGTTCGCGAGAAATATACCAATCAAGTTGATTAAATCATCGTTTTATTACTTCGCTTCGATAACGATACTTTGGATCGTGTAAAATTGCTGAACAAAAGCGTCGTATCTCTTATTTCACACAGTAGAACTCTCGTATGCCTCATGGCTTGAGGAAGAGCGGATGTGGAGAATATAGTCGAATTAACCACATACTTATACTATACCATATACTACATACGTCGATATCGAGTCGTACTTAAGATTACGACCCGTATACATTTATGTTTCTTAAACTATATTTCTGGTCTGACAAATGATAGATATATATATTTCTCTCGAATGCGACGTTTCAGTCGCGTTATTTTCTCCTCGAAGAAATTGCTCGCGAGGTCGCGCGCGTCTCCGTGACTTCCAATATATTTCCATGTTACTTTCATCGTGTTCCCTTCATCATCCCCGCAGAGTCCTTCCGTCCGATTAATTATACACGACAATTTATTGTAATGCTAATTCACAATGTATACACTATGTACAATCATTATGCGCCCACTGCTGCGACCTATTTTACGCAAAGTTGTATTGCTATCTCCGACTTATATATGATATACGGGGTGCTCTAAACATTGTGTACACATGCGAGCAAACGTGTATGGATTGCACAAAAATTCGGGACGCATTAAAGTATGCATCGCTCTCGATTGACATGTAGATGTAGAGAGAAGCCGATGACGATGCGCGACGTTTTTCCTGATCGCAAGAATGCGTAGAGATGTATACACTAATTAGCACTAATAATTAGCACTTGAAACGATATCGCGCGATGCCATGGATTGAAATATCAGGCCGACATTAACCGCGCAGAAATCTGAGACTGTAACGAATCACGTGAATCACGGTAATTGTCCAGCAAATCAGAATCGGGTAGAGCTCGATGTTCGACCTTGAGCCTGATTTAGGGGGTTCTTGGGCAAGACGTTGGTTGCTGGCGGCGAGAGTGGCAATATCGATGGTTTTGAGAGGCTGGTCATTAGCGATTCCTGGTAGTGTCGATTGGCAAATCAGAATCAAACTGCCACCAGAAAAATGATGCCGTTCCAAGCGCATTGTTAGACCCAACCGCGTCGTAGAGACCAGCTTTCCGTCTATGTTGCCAATTCCTCGCAAGTCTTTAGTTAAGGCTCTGTTTACCTATTAAGAATCAGGCACAGAATTTAAAGAGTTTAAAATGTAATTTGTAAAGTCTATATTTAAATAACTTGTATAGTGATAGAATTTATATTACAGCTTCGAGTTACCGAGATATCTAATATGAGATATGAAATACGAAAAATTATAAGAGATTGCAAATAAAGATTTCATTTCGACTATCATATGTTATTATTTTTTTTTCGTTTATTAATTCACATACTACAAAAGGCAGTTATTCTATGTATTACTTTTTAGTTTATGGTTTTATTTTAGATTCTCTAATTACTTAATATATATATTATACAATATTTTTGAGATTTTTACGGATATTTTCTTCAAGGAAATTACGCGATTTACGGATTGTCTCCATGTCTTGATACATCATTAAATGCCATCATTTCGTGAACACTTCACTTCAGTAGGATGAAAAATTTGAAATTGTCAATCAATACAATGCTATAAGCTGCTTAGTTTCTCAAGAATAAACTTGTATAAACGTAACAGAATTGTAACGAATATGCTATTTATACACAGAAAGAATGATTTTGATAAAGTATCTAAAAATTTGGCTAGATATATATATATATATATATAAAAATGAAAGTAATGTTATTGGACCATCAAAATAATTATATAGAATGTTTAAATTGATTGCTAGAATGTTAAAACTAATTGTAGAGTAAACTGTTCATCATGCTTGAGATTTTTCTAAAATTATTTTAATAGTCCAACAAAATTATTTTCAAATCTGTATCTAACGAAATTTTTAAATATCTTAGCAAAATCTTTTTGTCTACAATATAAATCATAACTCTAATAAAATTGATATAACAAACGACGTTTTAGAATCGTTACTATTATTTTTAAGAGACTCAACAATTCAAACAATCTGATATAGAATAACCATCAGGATTGTGTTGAAAGTAAACTAACTATTATATCCTCTTCTATTAACCTCCTTCATTTCGATTATTTTTCATATTAAGATCGAGTATTTAATTCTATTTTATTTGAGTTGTTATACAGTGTTCCATAAGTTTTAACCAATCGTTTTTGTGTAGATAGAGCGGACTAAACTGTTGTAAAGTTCTCTACAATTTTCTCTACAATTTTTAATAATTAACAAAATATTAATTATTAAAAATTATTAAAAATTATCAAATATTGATTTTGAATAATTTTTTAGGCAAATACTATCAATTTCACAGAAGAACTGTAAGAGACAAAAATCATTTATTTTCTTCTCATAGAATTCTAAGAATTTTTTATCAACTTTTTAGTTGCATTTTTTTATTTTTACTAACATGAGAAGATACGGTATTAAAAAATTCTGAAAAATTCCTGAAGAAGTTTTTAGAGTTCTATGAAAAGAAAATAAATGATTTTTGTTATAATTTCTCTTACAGTTTTTCTATAAAGTTGATAGTATTTATTTTGAACTCTCTGAAGTAAAAAATTATTCAAGTGGCAATTTTTTGTAATTTTTAGTAATTTTTTAGTATTTTTTTAGTATTTGGCAATTTTTAGTAATTAATATCTTGTTAACTACTGCAAAAAGTGCAAAATAGTAGAGGACTTTTCGACTCAGTTTAATCCGCTCTACAGTTACACAAAAGATTGGCCAAATTATGGGACACCTTGTATAAATATTTATTTAAGGCCAGTTTATAAATATGAGTGTCTTAAAGGGATGCTGAAATAACCAAGTTATCGATATTACAGTATAAAAATCTTCAAATTGACTGAATAAGAAATCGTTTTACAGAATTAAAGTAGATGCAAAATTAGAAGGTGGTACAATGAACTTAATATTAAAATCGAAAAAAATTAAAAACTTACTTAACTTTCTTTTGATTTGAGTATAAAGTCTACTGCACTACTTAATTTTGCTACTTTAATCGCCTTAAAAGAATTTTTGATTCCGTTCATTCAATTCGAAGATTTTTGTCGATAATTTGATCATTCCAGCATCCCCTTAATCATTTCAAAGGAAAGGTATTTTCTTATTGAATGCTTCTACAGTACAGGCCATACAGAAACCACAGATTTCATTAGATTAATAAATTAGTAAATTAATAAATTTGGATTTAAAAAAGTTCTAAGCAAAGTACACTTACAAAATACACCTACAAAGAAAATCTCATGAAGTGTCAAATTTTATGAAATTTTATGATATTAATAAACTTTGTATACATATAAGAATTACACGTAAATTTAAAAAATATAGTGCAGAAAACTGATGTCTAAACAAATCTTTCTAGGAAAAAAAGGTTTCTAACTTTCTCAATTATATCTCAAAAATTATTTAAGATATCAAAAAAAATTTTTATACAAAAGTTTTATAATGAAATTATGCAATATTGAATCAACATCTCAGAAATTCGTTAAAATAATAAACATCTTGTAGATCTTGTAGTTACAATTCAAAAATATTCGAGAATATTGATTCAACATTTATTCAATATTATATAAATTTCCAAAAACATTCAATCCTTGAATTAATTTTTATATAAAATTAAACGAAATATTTTTAAAATACATTTTATTTGCTTTCATCTTAAAACCTTTGGGTCACTTTCTAAAAATTATTTCATTAAAACATGGGTGAAGAATTTCGTAATATGCACCTTTTATTCTATCTTATGTAATTTTTAAATATGAGAAAATTACAATACTTTGCCTATATATACCTATAAACGATATTGCATACTGTTCCCAGGTGAGCAACTTTAATATTAATTTGATCAATATTGTTGCTACAACAACGTTGTAGCAACATTAATAATCAATATAGAAAAGTCAACAAAGATTCAATATTAAAAAAACATTCACACATCAATATTTAACATTGCAATATCTCAACAACATTCTTTCAATGTTCTATACTATATTACTCAACAAAAAATAGGGAACCCTTTCGAATACGCTCAAAATTGCGCAATATTCAGAATATCGTGAAACTCGGTGAAAAATCATCGCGGACAAAAAAATCAAAAAAGCATTTGAAAGCTCGAAATCTTTACTCTTGAAATCGGTAATTGATATTTCAATCTGATTGAATTTTTACGTAGCTATACGGACACAAATAAATATCCGTCAAATCTGAAAATTTTATACAAATTTTACAAAGGTTTAACGTGAAGTAAAAATTACACAAAAATACGGTTTACAGCAGCCGAAAGAGTGAATCTTTATCTTCAATTTTTTTTTTTTTTTAACGTTGTACGATTTTTTTTCACCAAGTATTCAACATTGAAACAAAAGTCATCATTTTTGCTTCAATGTTCAATAATTTGGTGAAAAAAATTGTAAAGAATCCGTCAGATTGAAATATAAATTATATCGATTTTAAAAATAGAGATTTCCAGCATTCATATATTTTCCGAAAGTGTTCCCTATTTTTTGTTGAGTAGTATTCCAAATATTTACGAAATATTAGGAATTTATATTATGAAAATATTTTTTTAAAGTTCGGAAATATCCTATTATTACATAATATTATAATTATATTTATAAAAGATTTATTAGATAAAAACGTTAATGAAATTCACATAAAATCAATATTTCAAAATGTTGATCTAATGTTTCTTGCTTACTAGGCCTGAACCTGTTATAGAACATGTCGGAATGAATTCCGATTGGAATTATTTCGTATTTCCTTAGAAAACACAATAAAAATCTAGGGAATAATTGAATAATGTCGATCGGAATCCATTCCGACTTGTTCTATGAGGCGGTTCTATAAAGGCGCCCTATATTATTAGATTGTTTCTCGCTGATGAAACAAATTATCAATGTTCACGAAACATTGGCATTTAATGTTTTAAGACATGAAATAACGGAAATAACTCGTAAACCGCATAATTTTTCTTCTAAATTTATGTTTATACTCTCTTTTTTCCAATTTCGGTTTCTATAATACATACGTATGTAATAGATAATTGCTCAATATTCAGAATATCGTGAAACTTGGTGAAAAATCATCGCGGACAAAAAAATCAAAAAAGCATTTGAAAGCTCGAAATCTTTACTCTTGAAATCGGTAATTGATATTTTAATCTGATTGAATTTTTACGTAGCTATACGGACACAAATAGATATCCGTCAAATCTGAAAATTTTATACAAATTTTACAAAGGTTTAACGTGAAGTAAAAATTACACAAAAATACGGTTTACAGCAGCCGAAAGAGTGAATCTTTATCTTCAATTTTTTTTTTTTTTTAACGTTGTACGATTTTTTTTCACCAAGTATTCAACATTGAAACAAAAGTCATCATTTTTGCTTCAATGTTCAATAATTTGGTGAAAAAAATTGTAAAGAATCCGATTGAAATATAAATTATATCGATTTTAAAAATAGAGATTTCCAGCTTATGTAATAGATACGTTTTTCTCTTCAACGAATAAAGTAATATATTAAACTGATCCAGATGTTTCTTTACTTGTATAATATAATCAATCATAACAGATTGCCTGTCCATTACTTGTTAAAGAAAGAAGTGTAACAGATTATTTTAATTGTCGAGTCTCTTGAAAAAAAAAAATATTTAAAACGTCATTTATTACATCAATTTTGTTTGAGTTACGAGTTTCATTGTACGAATAGCATATTTTTGTCGCAGTCCCGCGAGTTTATTCTCGAGAAATTAATTTGTGACTCATAGGATTGTATTTATTGAGACTTGAATGTGCGACCAGTCAGTGAGCGAAATAAAAATGCCCACACGAACTGGCCTCGCTTGACAAATTGTCGTTGAATAAACCGAGTAGTACCTTCTCGCGAATGACGTGCGCAGCGTAGCATTGAATAATGGGAGTTATGTGGTTCCTAGTTTACCATGCCCGCTCAACAGCCCGCGGAAGCGAGCTTTGGATTACGTTGCGCGATTAATTAATTACGAAATTTTCGCTCGTTTCGCGTTTGCTGACGCTACAGGGATATGCCCTAAAGTAGTTAGATAATATTTCGAAGGTAAATATTCCTTTGATCAATTTTAACAAAAATATTTCAATAAGTTTGTTAAATCAGAAGCTATCGAAAGAGGAAACGCTGGAAACTGAAAATTTGCGTTCAATTGACAATTGCTTTAGATAAATAAAAAATTCTTCTTTATGTAATAAATGATCTAATGAAATAATTTAAAAATCAAGCGAAAATTTGAAAACATGCCTCGTATACAAAGTATATGAACGTGGAGAATTATGGAAGTTTATCTGACTGTTTTTTAAAACTTATGTGATCTTTGAAAATTTAAGGACTGTTGTTTGACTATACAATACCAGCTAAAAGAAACAGCCAAATATTCAATCAAAATAATCTAATATCTGTCAATATCATTAAAAAAATTTTATTAACTCGTAAATATACTTTGAAACCAACTGCAAAAAAAAACAATAATTTGGCTTTTAATGGTTTTATGTACCAAAATATCCACATTTTTCTGCAGTTTTAGGTTCAATGATTTTTAAGTGGATTCAGTATATAATTCAATATAAAATTTGATTTTTAACGTTATTTCCTCATCAAATTTGCAAATAAATATTACAAAACGTGATTTTAAAAATCAAGACAAAAAATTAAATAACTTTTAAACTAATAAGAGAATCGTTCTCAAATGTTACATAGATATTCAATCGTAATAATAGAACAATCTATAAAGTTTATATATTTTTGATATTGTTTTAGATGTAACATACATCTTTAAGTGGCGTAATCCTAACTCTCGCACTCACGAATATCATCGACTCACCTCTTTACCGTTCAAGATGAACGTTAAAATTGCCGGGGGGTAACTTAACCCTGACGTGCACTCCGCTTGGAGGATCTCGCCGATTTCATAAGAAGGTCGCATTCCCTCGAGTATCGGAGAACTTTGAGGAGGTACGGCCACGCTCATGTTTGCCTCTCTGTAATCTGTCTCAAAACTCGGCGCTTCGGATGACACCTCGCAGCCATAAGACCCCGCCAAGTCGACTTTACCTGCAATATTAAGTTAGAGAAAAGACACTATAAGTATAAGCTTAAAAAGAGGCGAAAAAGACATTTCTTTTATTTCATGAATATATCTAAATAAATAACGACAAAATGGAAGTTGATTTTTTAAAAGGCAAAATTAAACTACATTAAACGTCTGATTAAATCATTAAATTTTTGACATTTACTTTAATTCCTCTAATAATCTGCATATTAAAATTATACTCTTCTACAAAAATGATTTTAATAATATACGAGATGATTTTTATATGAAGCTGATGAAGTATAAATATATGTCTAAAAATTTAGTTAGAGACAGATTTGAAAATAATTTGGTTGGATTATCAAAATAATTATGCTCAGGATAATTATGCTCAAATTATTTGCAAATAGATTGTCAAAACTTTTGGAGCATTACTCATTATTCTTGAGTTCCCTACATAATTTTGATACAATAAAATTATTTTTAGATCTATCTAAATTTTTAAATATTTCAGCAAAATTATTCTTTCCATACACATAAAGGATTCATCTTTTACATGAGAAATATATAGTAATAGATGTAACTTATAATTCTTGCTTAAAATTCTTGTAAATTACTGTCATATACCTTTACCAATGGATGGGCCCAAAAGTGTCACTTGTTTGTGGTCACTTCGATTGAGGTCAATATATAATCCGCTGATATTTTGAGGTCGCTTAGGCGTTGCTGATCCCGGCATGAATCTGAAGATCTCTTGGCCGTCTTTGTTCCACGTTACCGAATACAGCTCTTTGCCACCGAGATCATACTCACATTTGAGTAATACCGTCTCCCACCTTGGATCGGCGATACTGGGTACGTCCAGCTTTCGTATCTCTAGCCCGGCACCTAGACGACAAAAAGCACAAATGATTTTTGTTATTTTGTATGTTTAAATACTTATAACATAAATACGTTTTATATATTATAGTTATTATAGTGTTTCCTTACTTAAAAGTGATACAATACTCAAGATATATGATTTTCAAGTTATTAGCCCGGTAAAAAATTTTTCATGCATAAATATATGTATACATATATATATACATATATGTATATATATATATATATAAACATATATAAACATTTATAAACATGTATAAACTTTCATAAACATATATAATTATGGAATGTTCATATATCATTTTTTCTTTTTTAAATTACTGTATAATTAACCCTTTGAAGGGCACATATATGTCCTACTTTTTTGTTCTCAGTTTTTTCCATATTTCTGATCTATTTTGCAGTTTGAATGCACATATAAGTTATTTTTAGACTTTTAAATTATACAACTTTCATGAAAAATTACGTTAATTTATTTATTTACAGTTTTGTTATAAACAATTAATGTAAAAAAATTCATTTTTTTTTCAGAAATTCGGCTATTCTTAAACGTGAAGAGCTCTGAAAATTTTATGCGTGTACTTCATATCTGAAACTAATAATATATATATTTTTCAGAATTTTCCGTTTGTTAATTTTTCCGAAAAAAATTTTGAAAATTTTGGAAAATGATCTTTTATAAGTTTATTTATTATTCATTTATTTTGGAATTCTGACCAAAATCGTAATTAGCGACTCCGAAAATCCATAAATAATCTATGATTTCAATAATTTGTTTAGACGAAAAATGTGCCTCTCAAAAGAAGTTAAAAGGATAATTTTTGCATGGTTTATTTTAGAAAAAAAATCAAGTTTGAAGAAATGTAAAATAATACTTCTCCCAAAATTTTTTTTCTAAAAGAAACAAATGCGAAAATTATTCTTGTAATTATTTTTGTTTTCTCACATTATTATTATTTTTATTATAAATATTATTAACCAAAAAAGTATTCAAATACAAAATACTCTCAATAAAATAACAATGTATTTAAATACGTATTTTAAATACTGCCCATTCCTAGCTGAGACATAACGCTTATAAAGGTTATTGTTCCAATTCAAATGTAAACAAGGATAAATGATACATTATGCACATCATGCATGAAATAGAACACACTTTAGATTGTGTCAACAATAGTATGATTTTAATCAAAAAAATTTTTATATAATTTAAATATATTTAGTATTTACAAATTTAAAATACAAAATACTTAAAAAGTATTTAAATACAAAATACAAAATACTCTCAAAAAAGTATTTAAATACGAAATATAAAATACAAAAATGTATTTAAATATGTATTTTAAATACATGTCTTTCAAATACTGCCTAATCCTGCTTCTATATATTAAACAGTAATTTTATAAAAAAAAGAAGAATATATGGACATGTATGAATATATTTCATGTATAATTACATATTAATATGTTTACGAATGTTATATATGTATGTTTATATATATTTGTGTATGAACATTTTTTTATCGGATCATAAATGAGTTAGATTAGTAAAATTTATCCTATCAATTATTAAAAACGAATTAACTCAACTTCATTTTTTAAAAAATCATCAAAACGTCACAATCACAACTCAAAAACGATCGTTCACAATTTCAATTCAATTTGATGTCTCACAAGCCCACAATAATTCATAATTCATAGACATTGCTCTTATTTATATTCTACTTTCTACTCTACTTATATTCTACTTTCTTACTCTACTTTATCATCTCATATTTCTATATTTTTATTATTTTACTGGATTACAATTATTGTAATCAATATAAGCTTTAACTAATCTTTATATTAGATTACGATAATAACAGGGTGGTATTAATACCATACATTTTTACTTTAAAACTGTCTGTACCTTAAGATGTTAATACGGCTCTTTGATTAGATGCTAACTCTCATTAAAAAGAAAATAAAATCTAATTGTATATATTTTTGTTGAACGTATTATTTTCAAGGATTTTCTTATTCTATTCTGGTTGCGTTCCGATATTCACTGCTGAAACTATATAATATACGTTACGTGCGCTATAAATTTTCAGCACTGACAGTGAATATCGGAACGCACCCTCTAATTCAAGAGATAGTAGGTTTAATTAAAAAAAAATTATCACAAAATTGCGTTAACTTACTTAACTCAACTTATTGTTAGAGTGATGTATATATGTCATTTGTATACAAGATTTTATATCAATAATTAGTACCAAATTATAATATCTCATATATAGATATTTCCATAAAAATTAAGTTATTTTATTTGATCCAACAATAAGTAATACTAAGAATATTCTTTTTATTAATATTATTTGATTGAACAGTAATTTTTTGTCAAGTTGAAAAAGAATTTTCTCCTTTTTTATAAAATTTAATTTTTTGAGTTATATCACTTTAAAGGAGCAATATGTTAAACTTTATTATAATTTAAATTTTTAAATAATGTTAAATTAATTAAAGCTAATTAAAACAAATGTATTTATACTTATTACTTAAAAAGAAATAAATTTTGCTAGAATATATATAATTAGATTAATATTAAAATGAAATACTGATAATAAAATTTATTTTTCAATATGTTCTCACGTTGAAACAGATTCAAGTTTTTAACTCACTTATGCTATACGATGGTACAATTCAGAATACAATTCGAATAATTTAATTGGTTGGCAATTATAAAAATTGCCCTAACGTTGAAATCTCTTGAAAGATCTCGGAAAATATAGTTATTTGTAGAAAATTTCGACCGCGCAATGGAAATCTCAGCGGGAAATGGCTTCGCGATAGTTGACATGCGCGCATTAATTTATTTAGCGTGCATCCGCAGGGCGATCGAAACAAATACAGCGGTAATTAAAAATATTCGATCAACCGAACGCAATTGAGTACTCCAAAGCGGCCTGAAATTTAAAGTGATCGTGAGAGCCAATTATTATCGTGCAAACCTTTTCAGAATGCAAAAAATTCATTCGTACTCGTTCTTCTATCGATAATGTGTACAATTTACAAAAAAATTATAGATAAATTTTATTGCATTAAATGATACACATATAATAATAGCGTAATCATCCTACGTAATCGAAACTTTGATAACAATAAGCGCCATTTTCCAAGAGGAAAAATAACTGAAAAGTATTTTTACTGTATTTTATCACAAAGTGATATACTGATATTTATTTGCAAAAGTAACTTTCTCTGCGATTTTATTTTTAGCACTTGTTGTCCATTTAATGTCAAACTCATAATCATTTTGAAATAAATAAAATTTTGAAATATTAACAAATTTTGAAATAGTTATACCATTATATTATTTTTGTTGAGCGAAGACTCATTCGCAAAGAAATAGATACATGTTTCGAGTTATTTTCTCTTGTGACCTCCTTCAAAATTTATTACTAAGTTATCCGCTATATCATGTCACTATTCCGTTATGGATTGCTAATATATTATTTACTATTTGTGCCCCATGTGTCGGTATACTATATTCATTTATTTTGATATTGAAACAGTTTTGCTATCATAAAGTGCTATCATAAAATATAGAAGACATAAATATTGCCTAAAATATAGAAGGCTATTTCATTTTAAATTTGTAAACCCGTTTATGTAAAGACAATGATGATTGTCGTAACGGCGCGGCGTTGGCAAAATATCGAAGAACAATTAGAAGAATAAAATTGTTGAATAGTTATTTTCTTTCTTCTCATGTACGTCAACATACATAGAGCTAGTAGTTACATAGTCACATGACATTTATTGATTTATTTTGAGTATCCTATTTTGATAACACTCAATTTTACGGTGCATCGATGTTTTACATCGCTTCGGACATAGTTACATATTTTTCTATTAAACAAGCCGGACCACAAAACCAATATACGTTAAATTGGAAGTTTTATATCAATGCAATATTTTATATTTATCCATCTTTATCTACACTCTTTATACTCTCTAATAGTTTTCATTAATTTACGTGAGTGTCGAAGTTCCGTTTCTCCACGTGAGCACAGTGTTTTTTCTTTCGGTCGAAAGTTCGTTCCCGTCTAGCTAACAAGTGGTTTTGCAATGGTTTTGCAGTGGCATTCGCCTTGCAGAATAACAAGTCTTTTTAAATAATTCGTTGGCTTTTCAAGGCTTTGTGTAAGCAGTAGTTAACCAGGAACACAATAGAACGAACTGCTTTCACTCTATCCATGTTAGTCTGCAGGATACGCTCGGCCAGGCCAAGGGTACGATTTGGAAATGCAAACTCCACAGGACGAAACCACGATTCCCTGCTTCTTTTTCGCGCGTGCCTCTGATACGAAGTACTCGCCTCGCATTGAGTAAGATATTTTATATTGTATAGTATTGGGATACGAATGTTCCCAACGTGCTTTACATTCTGAAAACATATATATTAGGTGTGGGAAAAAGTTCGTGGCGTTTTTCCCGTCAGATGGCATTAAAAAAACACCACGAACTTTTTCCCATACCTAATATATTGAACGGTGTGTCGAATGCTCTTACAAAAATTTAATTTAATACTATTTAATACTATTCAATTTAAAATTGAAAAATGTTGATCTATTACGTATTTTAAGTATTGACTCTCTGTCTGTAATTTAGATCTTTTGCACAAATACAAGTTCACTTTCAAATCTTGCATTGATCACATAGAAAAAATGTCAGTTATTTGCTGAACTCTGATATTTTGTAGCTTATGAGATCAAAGCTGATTAAAAATCTCTATAAAGATATAAAAAATGGACAAATATTACAATAGCATCATTTGAAAGTTACTTTTTTTTAATTTAATCGGACTAAAAAATATTTTAATCTACAATACATGCTTTGTTCTATATAGATATTATATGTAAGGACTGTCCAAAAAAAAACCTTCTCACACAAAAACTCACATATCCTCCAAACTAAACTTAAAAAAAAAAACAATTTTTTAATTTAGTAGGCTTTGCAATGAAT